GTGTGTGTGTGTGTGTGTGTGTGTGTGTGTCCAGTGATTTACCTTACATCACCCCCCTCCCCACTCTATTCCAGTTGCACAAGACCATTCTCCTCACCTCCTGACTCACGATGAAGTCTCTTACTTATCGGTTGATCGAGCTGACTTTATAATATTAATATTTCGGTTGCGGTATGCTCCTATACTGTGTTACTGGAAATCTGCTAAGACAAATCTTATCTGTGTTGCACAATCATTCCTTGCTGGTTCTCAATAGAAATCAGGAGTCATCATGCATTATAAACAGCATCAATTCTAACTTTTGTTTGGTGACTGATCATTTCATCAGAATGCTTTTTGGCTGTGAAAAAACCCAACAACAAACAAATAAAAAAAACAACAGACAAACAAACAAAAAACAATAACAGCAGAAAAACACCAACAACAATTTTAAAAAACAAACAAACTCAAAACAGAAAGAACAACCCAAACCCAAAACTACCCCCACCCCCAAACAACAACAACAACAACAACAACAACAACAACAACAACAACAACAATAACAACAACGACTACAACAACAACAACAAACACACAACAACGATAACAACAACAAACGCACAACAACGATAACAACAACGATAACAACACAGAGAAAAAAGATAAATCAAGAAACCAGTAACACGGTGTGGCTACAACACCGTCGACCATTGATTTTATTTTCCTCTCCTACAACTCACGATCCTCATGTGATCACCCGCCCCAATTGATAACCTAATCTCTATGACTTGTTTTGTTATTTTCAATAGGTGGGAAAGATGCTTGATATAAATATAGCAATACTTGCAGATAAGCAATTATATCATTATTTTATGGATAATCTAGATGTTATGCTGATATACCTCTACAAGGCTTTCACTTGATATAATCTACTTTTGACTCTTGTTACCCACGTACATTTGTGAATGTTCTAGCTAGCGACACCTGGCTGTGCCAGTAAATTAATTGTATACATTTATACAGCAGCTCGTAGTTTTACGGCTTTTCGCCGAAATATTTTGTATCGCCTGAAAATGTTTATTCATATCAACATTGCATGCAAACTCTTAAAAATCATACTGCTGCAAACTGTTTTATTGCATTTCTCAGATACATTTATATTGCATAAATGCGTTAAAAGTTTAGCCATACAGTACACAAGTAACTCCTGATCTTTCCTTGTTACCCATTTGTTTAGTTTCCCAGTATGTTGCTCTGGGCCTTCCCTTCCTCGCTTGCCCTCAATTTTGCCAGTGAGAGCTAGATCTTTGCGACAACTGTTTAATTAAAAAAAAAAACATTTTCTCAACCGGTCCCAAAAATGAAAGAATAATATTAGATCTAGATCTAATATCCTTGAGGTAAGTAAAGAGATACTTCGTACTTGATGGTTACGATACAGAGTCATACGTGAATAGTGCTGTGAGTTGGAAATACTGAACAAAGAATTTTGCTGATGGACTTATATATGTATAAGAAAAAAAAGCAACGAACAACTACAACAACAAACAACAACAACAACAACAACAACAAACAAACACACATTCGTTCAGGTTTTCGAAGAGCATGAATAGCTTGAAGAGAGACTTGACGCTTGGAAGCGGCGGCTACGTTTCGTTTTCTCAAAATAGCGTAACAACAATTTGTTACATTCACGTCATATTGGTTTTTGAAAAATAGAAAAAGGATAATTAAAGTTTGAAAGGTTTGGATTTCTGAGGAGGGTGTTTGCCACAGACCGGCTAGATCAATTAGAATGTAATTAGTAATGGCTGACGTGTTTGCCTTTTTTTTTCCAAAGTCGTCATAGCAGGTGGCGTCACATTGGTACCGGGGCTTGACCTTAATATGTGAGGCATCGTGTTGAAATCAGCCTCTGGTCAAAATTTAAATCGAAGAAATCGGCATTTTTCGGCTAGTTGTGGATAGTTTTTGTCTTCGAATTTTTTTATTTTTTTCTACTCAACACCTTGTACGTCCTTTCAATAACACAATTATGTGTGAAATGTGTGGAAAACGTTGATTAAATATGGCAGGCAAAATGTAAATTTGCAGTTTTCAAAGATTCTTGAGCTATGGAAGTCACCAAATTTTGGCGGCCATTTTCTCGTTAATTTTACTTCTGAAACCAGGTGACCCTACCCCCCTTCAATCACAAGTGTTTCGACTTCTGTTCAAGATTAATGGATATTTTTTTGTCATCAAATGCAAGGCAAATGAACAATCTTTAAGATGATACCAATAGCTCAATATACCCAAAAACTGACGAGTGCTTGATTTCACTGCGTCGTGCCACATATTATATAGGCCTGATGTTTTCGTAACCTTGGAAGATGACTTCAATAACTGTCCTGAACAACATTGTTCCATAAAATAATCCCGCCGATCCGTTTTGTTGATTCAAACGAAATTTGGTATCAGAAGACTCGCAATTTTTTTGTCATTAGCAATGAAACGTGACCAATTATGAGCGTGAAATGTCGTAAACCTTGGGGTTTTTGAACTTGAGTCGTCTAATCACGTGACTGTGACTTTGCCCATATTAAATTCAGATTGAACTATTTATTCGTTGTTTATAAAGCCAATTGTGAAGATTTGTAGAAACCGGACTCGTTCGCTCAAAGTCAGATTGTTAGTTTGTTCTGTCTAATCCCCCCCCCCCCCTAAAATTGCTATCAGCTTTTGGTCTTCAACTTGAATAATGTTCTAGGTCCGTGACAGTGAAATTACCCGTATATAAGTTGAGATGGAACTTTTCACCTTGTTAGGTTCATTTATCCCTAACGATGTATGGAAACAAGGTGTAGGGCATCTTAAGTCTGATAGTTGATCGCGACAGTCATTCTCCATAAAACTTGGGCAATTGCTTTATTTTCTTAAACTTGAAAACTCTGCCAACTTGACAGTGCCATTG